GTTGATCCTAACCCTAAGGAGGTTCCACCTTATGGGGATCAGTGAAAAAACCAGAAGAGAAGTTTCTCGCTCGGAGCCCAAAGAGCAATATGCTCCGCTTCAACAAATGAGAGCTACTTAGATGAGTGGGACAGAGGGCTTGTAGTACCTACCAACGTTGTATGCTATGGAAGGGAAGGAGCCTAAATCGACCCCCTTCTTTCCTTTTCTTCAAAGACACTAGAGCAGTACAAAGATATTGGACTCCTGGATGAGACTAAGCAGCTATTGTTCCAACGCGTCCCTGATCAGCCTATCTGAATTAAGACCGATTTGAAAGTATTCCACATGATCTAATATCTTTTCGATAAAATTACGCGACAACCAAGGGGGAAGAGGAGATCTTTCTATATCAAACTATTAGTTGAAAAAATGATAGGCAAATTCTGGACGGCTCCTACTCCCGCCTCCAGCAACTATGATCGAAAGGACGACATCATGCCAATTGGCGAGGAAATCCGAGGTAGAATAACAGTTGAAAAGTTTGTTTGAGGGAGCCCAAAATATAATAGTGGAGATGATCGTTTGGATGATGGTGGATAGATGAGATGATGAGCCCATTGAAGCTCCTTCCTTTCAAGCCAAACCAAATAATCCCCTAGATGATGATGAGGCACGAAAGTAGGCTACCAAAGGCCGATAAAAAAAGGGAAAAATATTGTTTGTAAAGGTCGTCCACCGAGGGTGGTAACTCAGAACAGACCAAAAAGATTCACAAGATGTGCTCATATCGTGGCTGACTGGGGGGAAAACAAAAAGACATGGCCACTGGAATCCTCTTTGTTACCGCATAGGGCACATCTATTGGCTAGACGGAAGCCTCACTTTAGTATATGGTTCACTAATAGAACTTTGTGCAAAATGGTAAGCCAAGAGAAATCTTGCACCAAGATTGAAACCGAGGAGAGCAATCTCCGTTGACAATCACTGAATTGGGGGTGGATGTTGTGAGGGTTTTGGAGAAAGAAGAGACCGAGAAAGAGCCATTAGGGGAAGGAATCCAAACAATTTTACCGGCACCCAAGAAAGGTAAGAAGAAACCATTGACCCGAAGAAGAAGGAAGATAAACTAGGCGCTTTGGTCTCAATGAGGTTTGGGCATAAAATAGGAGTCTAAACTATATACCAAGCCACTAGAGAAGCATACGACAATCAAGGCCTCACTACTTACAGCAATGTTGTAGATGGCAAGGAAGGCTACATCAAGGCTTTGATCCCCAAGCTAGAGGTATTCCTAGAATCTTGTATGGTTCCCAAATTCGGGAAGGAAGCGTACAAGAGCTGAAAAGTTGAAACTGAGTTGGCTAATGACTAGCCATGCACCCGAAGCCCTTAAGGACGATGGATCTTTTGGAAGCCACCCAGAACAATTCATATCATATCTATTGGATATCACTTGTCACCATAATTGATCTTGATTAGTGGTTAATGCCACCACCATTTGCCGAAGAGCATTGTGTTAGCAATTTTGAGGTTTCGAAAGCCTATGCCATAGGAGAAGCTGGGTTTCCATACTAGGTCTCACTAGACTAGGTGGAATTTGTTCGAGTTCGAACATACATTCCACAGGAAATCTGGTATGAGAAGTTCAAATTTCTATGACATGGTAACCGACATGCAAAAAAAGGACATTTGGATCACCGGGATGCTTGCAAAGGTGAGTTTGATGAGGATAATGAAGGTGCTGGTGTCGAAGCAGAGTGGATTGAGATCAAAAGTATGGATAATGGTAGGCTAGAAGATCCATATAGTCCGCCTCCTTGTCGGTACATCTTGAACTTTAGGAATCTCAATCCAACATGTTTGGAAGCTCCATCCAACTTTTTTGGATGCGTGATGAATTCTAAAGATAAAAGACTTATCTCATAAAAGCATTTTTTCTATTTGACAAATATAGAACATTAATCATTTTGTAGCATAATTACTTCTTTTTTTAATGGATATGGATTTAAGCCTTGTTTTCTATAAAAGATTAATATAAAATGGGTGCGATTAAAATTGACCGATCCCTGAGGAATTGGGATTGTGATTTCCCATATGGGAGAGGGATCCACCCAAGGTCTAGCTCTAAGGACGTGGAATAACCGGCATTGCCATCAAGTTGTGAGACCCCGATAACTATGATACAGCCACTAAAAAGAGAGGAACCGGTGCTTAAACGCACCCAACTTCCTCTCGAATTTCTCGACTATGGAATCCAACGGGGAGGTATTTGGTTTACCGAAATAGAGGAGGAACCCTAAATATTTACTAGGGTGATTATCAAATCCTTCGTGCTAACACTTGGAGGGTGACTTGGCAATGCCCATAAGATTTATGCAGGTTAACCTCTAGGCCCATCATTAATTCAAACAACTAAATGAATAGCCTAGATCATCGACTTCTTGGAGGGAGGCATCAAGCAACACCAAAGTGCAATCCGCATAGAGAAGATGAAAAATGGTGGGGCCACAGGGGACAAGGAGAAATCTGGGAGCATACCAACCTAGAGACACAAGGGACCACATGGCCACAATGTTTTGGAGAGGGATTGTCTATTGATACACTCGTTCGTTATGAGTGCACCATCCAATTTTTCCTACCAAAGACAAAGGCTCCTTGATTTGGGAAATAATTTGATTAAGGACATGATACAGTCGCGAGGCAAGAACCTTGGTAAGGATCCATAAAAGCTCTTTAAAAGGCTCATCAATCTAAAATCCTTTAGTTCATTGGCTCCTTTACTTTAGGGATGAGTGTTATGAATATTTATATTTTTGTTTACCACTCCCCTTAAGCTAGGACTTCAAGGCCAAGGACATCCCAAACCTTGCTAAATACGAAAACAGGGAAACAATCAGGGTGGGGCTTTGTCTTGCCTCAAACCAACAACGGCTTTCAAAATCTCTTGCCGTCGAAAAAGGTCATTCAGGTCGTCAGCCACTATGTAATGAGATGGATTGAAAAGAGAGATATTTTCTATTTGAGGTCGAGGGCCATTTTCAGCGGCAAAGAGCTTTTGAAAGGAAGCGATAACAACCCTGAAAATGTCATCTTGCTCCTTGTAAATTAAACCATTGTCCGTAATGTGGAGGATAGAATGTCCCTTTTTTTGGCAATTTGCAATTTTGAGATATTCTGGTCCCCCTCTCAAAGCCATTTAATCCTAGGGTGCCAGTGCCAAAAGAACTCCTCTCACTTTAGAATACTTTGGAGGTTTTCCTTTGCCAAAAGTCTAGTCTTGAGTGCAGAAGGGCTCACTTTAGAATACTTTGGAGGTTTTCCTTTGCCAAAAGTCTAGTCTTGAGTGCAGAAGGGGAGCGATCCCCGGCTTCCTTTAAGAAGTCTAATAACTTGATAATAGCAAAATAATTCTATTTTTGTATGGACAGAGCCACAATCATTCCTAAGCATTAGTTAGGTCGTTTGCATATTAAATATCTTTTTTTTTTATTATTGAACTAGATGAAGTGATTAGATCATTCCTTTTTACATGCTTATTATATTGTAAAATAGAAATAGAAAATGCCTATGTCACTATATAGATAACCCAAACAGCATATATATTAGGGACAATTAATAAATTAAAATACCCATTATCACATAAATCAAAGCTTGATGTCATTCCTTGTATTCTTACAAATTAATCTTCATTCCATTCCTTGTAATTCTTATAATTTCGATAACTTCTTTGAAACTTTTATACTTATGTGCAAATAGGAAATGACGCCACACCTAGTGTGTCAAAAACCTCTAGCATCTTGCACTGCATCCTACATTTCATAACCTTCGTCTCACTCTCTCCCTTTCTCACAAGGATTCTCATCTCCATCTCCCATTCATTCCCTCTTGCGGACTATCACATCTGTCTAACTCCATTCTCTTGAAAACCTCTGAACCTCAACTTCCCTAGGTGAGTTGTCCAAAAGCCCCAAATCCAAGGTGGAGGACCAAGGCAGAAGGTGCAAACACAAATATGAGCCTGAAACCCAATTAGGAGCCCAGGGTAACTCTCTTTCTCAATCTTCTCTCTATGAAAGAGTCCCAGTCCTCGCAATCATCTTACTAATATGTAAACACTTAAATACCTTACAGTGTTTCCACTAAGGCCTAATATATTTCATGAAGCACAAATAGAACACAATCTTTCCCTAAACTACCATACCATCAAGACCTGACTGCCCACAAACTTCCCAAAATACTATAATAGTGCATACTGTGTGCAGCAATCAACTCCAAAACCAAAACTACTTTAAAAATATTTTAAACCATGTATAAAAATTTCTGCCTTCTTTACCCAAAGGAACTCATTTAAACCATCATTTTTTGGGAATCAAGATAATCGTCCATTCCTGAGAGCTCTATGGTGGCCATACATAATGAATGGAGGGTTTAAGGAAAACTAGGGCATCTAAAGGTGGATGAGAGGAGTTCACATTGTAAGGGCATCTGATTGGTTAATAGACAGGGCCCCCAGAGCGGTGATCATAGTGCAAAGTGAACTATCTTGCCTTTCAAATAATAGAAAAAGAAAAAAGGAACTGGTCTTTTGTAAAGAACATGCTCTAAAACCAAGCAAATTATATTAAAAACAAACATATAGTCCTTTAACTATCCAGAGCTTTTCCCACTTTCTAGAGCACCAGAAATAGAAATTTTAATTATTAAACAACAACATAAACTAAAATCCAAAATAAAAAAGAGAAAAATGAACAACATACTCAAAGGCATGCATATGAAAAGAAAGGATACGTAGATCAGAAAAACCCGCATTACATATTAGAACAGAAACAGTAAGCAATTGATACCATGTCCAAGCAAACCCTGGCGATTTCGAAGTATGCACTTCTTTCAAACAACAATAATCAGAGAAGCTTTCATAAAGAAAACATAAACCACGCTCCAAAAAATTTCAGTGAACAAGAGGAAAATGCGTAAGAAGTTTCAGTTATCAAAATAGGAAGAACGTTACATTACTTTACCTGAATTAGCAAGCAAAGCAAACTGTTGGATAATCAAGCAAAGCAAACTTCTGCAAACCCTAAAAATCACCTTGGGGTATGATACATGAGATCCTCAAGAACCACTGCAAAAAGCACCCTCACATTTTCCTGCAAGCATATCAAGGGTTTTATTGAGCGTCGGGGTTATATCGAGCGTCCAAGGGTTTTATTTGCTCCAAAGTAGAAGCGCAGTAGACAGGGAGGAGGATCTCACGGGACTAAGATCACACTTTAGAGAGAGAATTGAGAAATAGAGAGAGTAAGGTTGGGGTTTGGGGAGAATGCAAGCGGGGAATAATGATATTTTTTTTTTTCCCATAAGATGAGATAAGATGGAAACGCATGAGCGTGGGGCCGACATATTTCAAGATAGGAAAATGATTCAATAGGGCTACGCCCCTATTAAAATAAGAGGGATTGTATACGATGAGAGAGACCATTTATCAATAAGGGAGGGGTGGTATACAATTAGGCCATTTATCTTTAATACAAGATGTTCACAATTATGTACAATCATATCATGTAAAATTTGATAGTTTAGATATATCAAAAGTTTGAAAAAATATCTCTTGAAGTTTGAGTTTGGTCAATGGAATAAATGCAATCATCTAATTTCACATCCAATGGTCAAGATTAATTGTGACCACCTTGTACCAAAGATAAATGGTATTATTATATACTTTTTCAATAAGTAAAGCCGTGTTTTCTTATTTATTGAAAATTTGTAATTCAAGTATTGGAAAACCTTTATATCAATCATCTGGACTTGAATATTATAGTTGTGAAAAAAATTAAGATTTTAAGCTCAAAAATCGTGTATATTGTAACAAATTATCTAGACCGTCAATTTCACCATAAAAATAAGTATTCACAAATACCGTAAGATTTGTAATTTTTTTTAGTTTTAAATTTTATTGTCGGTATTGGAAATTGATTTTAGAGTTACCATAAGATTTTCATTGTCAACAGTGCTTCCAAGATGAGGATTTGAGGTGAGATATTATTTATAGGCCTTATAAAAATTTCATCACACAAGATATGTATGCATGAGTGCAGCAAACTACTTCCCATCATCATACGGTTCCTATACCGTCAGATGACAAAAACGGACGGCAACACTCATTTCTATTCTTCGATGGTCATTGTGTGTTCTTCCCTAATACCATTATTTATGAGATTGTGAGAGTAAGAAGATTTTGCAAAAGAATCATAAAATGGTTAATTCAAACTGGAATACCCACGAAATCATTGCACTATTGAGTTTCAAGGACATTCTCGAATGTTGAATATTATCGATGTTTGTATCGGGAGTCAACCTTAAATAAGCAAAGAAAGTGCACCCTAACTCCTACCAGAAGTTTCAGTTGTGCTCCTATAAATTTCTGCGTTAGCCTGAAAACCTTAAATGTGAAATGTTGAGCTTCAAATATAATGCAGATTAAATTGATGTATAAACACTCTAAAATCTTGAAAATACATAGTCTAGATAATATGTTACAAAATGTACTATTTTAGAAATAGAAATCTTTTTGCATCTAGAAGTCAATATGGTCGACTGAAAGATTTTCCAATGTCAAAACAACCCTTTTCACATGGGTTTTGGGGCGCGTCTTACCTTTATTAGTATATATGGTTAATACCTTACATGAACTTTTTTCATATATAAAACCCAAATGACTTGCCGGTTGGAGATCTAAATATAAATGGGTTTATATATCATAAGACCATTTACTTTTAGTACAAGGATGATACGTTCACTCCTAACTGTCAAATGTGCTTGGTTGGATTACAAAGTTCAACAAATACATAAATCATTTGGACTTTGAGCATAGATAATGATATCCCACCAACCGCTTAATTTACATCTATAGGGCAAAGGTAATTATGACCTCCTTGCAATAAAGGTAAACAATCTTATTATATATTTTTTTAGTATAAAATATAAATTTATTTAATCAATAATAACTTGCATGAAAACTTCCATAAATGAAATGTCTTGTAGGAAAGGAGGTAGTCATTCATGGGACTTCATTCTTCAAGCTCCCACTCACTCCATTGTGGCATCATGGCCTTTATCACAATGGAGGGCTGAAAAATAATAAAAATAATAAATTTATTAAAATTGGTAAAGAGATAAAAAAGATATGGAGAGAGAATTTTTATTGTCGAACACATGGATAACTAGATAGAAGGACAAAGAAGTCTCAGATTTTGTTGTATCCTTCATAATGGTGTAGTTAGTCCCAATTTATAGATTTTGGAGCTTATCCCCTTGTGGCATATGACAAGTTTTGCATCCAATAGTCAATATCTTTTTCTGCCCTAATCAACAGTTAAGCATTCCTTATCCACTTCCTCTCTCTCTCTCTCT